ATGCTCTTTGTCTCTGGTTGACCTGCCTCCAGTTTTGATCTGCAGTTGACCAACAGTAGCCAGCATATTATTGAGTTGGTGTTTGCAGTCTTGGGGTTATGGGGACCTCTTACATAAATGAAAGCCAGTGGCCTCTCTTATTCGTTAGGCTTAGGGTCTCTCTCTTCTGGTGCTGGAATCTTCTGAGTTGGTTCCTTTAGACCATGGTCCCCTGGGAGGGGCTTGTTCAGTCATGATGTCAAAAGACCTTTGGAGAAGAGCATGTGGATTAGAAACAGGCTGAATCAGCAGTGATTTCCACCAGTCCTTTGGAAAAGGGAGTGGCCTTTCTCAGACCACATGGGAAAATAGCCCACATGTGGCACACTGTCTTAGTTTAGGAGGTGGAGGACTCTGTGGCTTTGTGGCTGGTACCCCATGGTGGCAAGAGGTCCCAGGGTTCCGGAACTATCCATCCCTGTACTTGACCCTTGCTCTCTCATGGGTCCTTTCTACCATCTGCAGACCCCACCTTGGAAAGGGGGTGGGGCAGAAAGCTTTGCCCACCCACATGTTGACTGTCCCTACGGGGCAGGTTTGGCCTGGCACCTGGTAGGCCAGGTGAGCAGTCAGGGAAGCCCCTGCTGGGGTCAGAAGCACAGACGCTTACTTTGGTCTTGCAGCCTCCAAACCTTCAGCTTCTCCCATGCCTCGTCCCTACTTCAGCCTTGGAAGATACCAGAGAAAGTCTCTAGGGACATAAGTCAGGGGGAACTCTTAAACACTTCTCTTTGGAAGCCTCCACCACCCCCCTTTCCCTTGCTCCTTGTGTCTGCCTTTGGCCTGGTGATAGCAATGACCTCATCTCTGCAGCCTAGGACCCCTAGGTCATGGTGCTCCCGGCAGGGGCGGCCAGGTGTGCACCCAGCAGGTAGCCTCCCCAAGGAAGTAACCTCAGATCTCATATAAGGAACCAGCAGAGCAAGTTCTGTGAGTCTGTCTCCCCAGGTGATGGTAATAGAAAGTCCACAGCCAAATCTACCCTAGGCCGGGATGGGCAGGGATTGGGAGAACCAGGCACATCTTGCCCAGGACCTTGGATGTCAGGAGCCCTGGGCCTGCAGAGGAGTGACCATGGCCCTAGTTAGTTCAATGCCCATTCTGTGCAGAGGAATGAATTGCTGGTCTCCCTGTGTTGTTGCCAGTCACTGAGACTGCTGGTCTCCACGAGCAGCGCAGCCTTCATCCCCTCCGGGAACAGGTGCATCAGCACTCACTGTTCACCTAGCCAACTCTAATACAGAACACAGACCCCTGAGGGGCCCAGGGGGGACACTAGCCTGTTCACTGTGGCAAGTCAGGGCACACTCAAGCAGAATTATTCCTCCGCCGAGTCAGGGCAAGGCTCGGCAAAGGTTCTGCCAGAACAGTCCTGGAGGCGTCTTGTAACTAGATAGATGCCCTGTCATCAGCTCAGCATCAGATGGGACATTGGATGCTTTTATAGTTTTTCTTGTCAGGGGAAATGGAAAAGGGTTAAGGGGAGTGGGAACGGGCATGGGAATGTGTTGTTGAGAGTTGCATCTCTGAGCTGGGTCTTGGGTGGAGACCCCAAGTGCCAGCTGGCTTGAGCCCACCTTGGATTCTCTTGATTAATGATGAGGACCCCTGCCTCCCCAGAAATGCCATGCTGTAACCCAAGCCGAGTCTGCCTCCCCGCTGGGCAGCAAAGACAATCGCTGGGACGCAGCAAGGAAAGGATTTATTGGGAGAGGCAGCCAGACCAGGAGACAGGGGGGCAAGCCTCAAATCCACCTCCCTGAAGGGAGAGGCAGGGGAGTTTAAAGGCAAAAGGAAAATGGGGAAAAAGTTGCACTGGTCGTCTGCTGCTGCGATCAGTCCCATGACCTCTGGTTGCTGGTTTCGGTACCAGGCAACACCAGGGTTCGCTCCCTTGCCTCCTCAACTTCTCCAGTCCTGGTCAGACCTAAATGGGCCCCGTTCTGCACGGCCAGGTGACTCTGGGGGATCCAGAGAGGAAAACCCATGAGGGTGACACAGCATCCCCAGCCCGATGCACGTGTGGAGAGCGGGATAAACGCCAGCCTCAACCTACTTACCCACACCTCGGTTCTGTACTGAGAGCATCTCATGCCCTAGAAGGATCACTCTGGCTGCTGTGTAGAAATGAACGGTGGGGGCGAGAGTGGCTGCTGGGAGGCCAGGGAGGAGCCATGGCGGTTGTCCACGGGAGAGGTGACCTGACCCGGGCTTGGGCCAGGGTGGGGGGGGTTAAGTTTGAGAGGCTCACTCCACACATCTAGGTGGCTCTGCAAATCTGGAGACAAGATCAGTGGGGTAGTCACCAATGGCTGAGCCCCCTGGATGAGATCACCTAGGGAGTGAGGTGACAGGGCTGAGGTGGAGCGCTGGGGCGCACCCATGTTTCAGGGTCAGGTGGATGAAGGGGAGAAAAGGCAGAGTGGCCGTGGGGCTTATGGGGAGAGTAGTGACCTGGACAACAAATGAAGAGAGGACTTCCAGAAAGACAGGGCGATGCCAGGTCAAGAACGGTGATGGCTGAGAATTGTCCATCAGCTTTGGCAACAAGGCCATCACTGGTGACCTTGACAGAAGTCGTCAGGCTCGGGTGGGGTCAGAAGCCTGACAGAGCAGTGGGTTTACAGAGGAACAGGAAGGGTGGTGTGTTCGATTCCTGGGGCTGCTGGAACAGATGACCACCAGCTGGGTGCTTAAAACAACAGAATGCATTCTGTCACCGTTCCGGAGCCCAGATGTCCAAAGTCGGAGTGTCAACAGGGTTGGTTCCTTCTGAGGGCTCTGAGGCGAAACCTCCCCAGGCCTCCTTCCTGGCTCCTGCTGGTTGCCGGCAGTCCTTGCTCGTGGACGCATTACCCCGTCTCTGCCTCCATCCCTACATGGCCTCCTGTGTCTGTCCTCATCTTACCGGGACACCAGCCATTGGATTCAGGGCCCAGCCTACTCCAGCATGACCTCATCTTAAGATGCAGATTACATCTGCAAAGATGCTATTTCCAAGAGGGCCACGTTCTGAGGATCCAGGCGGTTCTGAATTTAGGAGGGGGGACACTCTCCTCCCCCATTATAGATGTGGAGACAGTGACTCTAGACCACTCCTACAGGACCCCCATGCCACCCTCTGAGGGGAAGGTGAGACAGCAGTCAGATGGGGTATCCATTGGGTGAGGTCGAAGGGCGCCCAAGTCTTCTGCCCAGGAGGGTTTGCCTTACCTTCCAAGGTAGCTGAGGAAGGGGGAATGTCATGGCTAGACCAGGTCTGAGGTCCACCAGGGGAGCAGAGTGTGACAGGCAGAAAGTCTGGCCAGGGCTGGCTAGAGACATCTGGGGGTCACAGCCTTGGAGACAGTCTGACCTGTTAGCCCTCCAAGGGCTGTCTGGGAAATCGTCTATGCCCTCCTGCCCCACCCCAACCCAGCCCAGCCACCAGGTCCTGACCTCAGCAGGGAACAGTGGTTTGCAGAGCTGGTCAGCCAGAGTTGCTAAGCGAGGCCTCCCTGGGTGCTGTTGTACTCCCTGCCCCCTTCCCCTGTGCGCCGGGCAGACCCTCCCAGCAGAGTCCCTGCCCCCTTCCCCTGTGCGCCGGGCAGACCCTC